CCACCTCCCTTCTGAAGACCGTAATTAATGTGCACAGAGCCGCGGGGGGGGGGGGGGGATGCTACTTAGCGGACATATCAGCGGTCAGAAGACGACAACGAGGAAGTGGTCTGTTGGTCGTGCATGCTGTCCTCCTCCTTAGTCGATGCTATGCGCATCAGTTACAATATAGATTCTAAATAGACACGCCTCATGTCTTTTTTACGTAACAATGTAATGAAATTGACAAATTCCTGAACAAATTTGTTATAAGGAGGATTCTGTACATGTGGGTTCCGTACGAAATTTCAAAAAAGAAATGCACGAAGTAAACAAAAGTGGAACTGAAGTCGGAGCTAATTGGCTAATTGTGAAGGCTATGGTCCCGTGAACTAGTGGTACAGCGCAAGGCGGCATAGCGCGCCACGAGTAGACCTTTGAAAATCTTCAGTTGTCACCATGGTCTGGGTGAGTTTCCATCAGCGCCTAATGTGATATCTGTCTGCATTAAAGAGAAGAAAAAAGTAAGTAAAGCACACAACATCGTCGGAGGCCACTCCATGCACGCGTGCACGGCGTCAAAAACGAAAAGCGAACAATATAGATATTGCGGAAAACTATTTGATGAAATGCCTTCATATGTAGTGCGACCCCACATTTGTGATGCGAACTAAAAGCGTGGCACTGCCAACTTTTTGGTTTGGGGGGAAGGGGAGTGCACATCCCGGGATGTGCTCACAGTGGCAACTCTTTGGGCGCAAGGCCTGCCTGCCCGTCTTGCGCTCACCCACGCGTAATAAAGGTTTTTAGATACATGCTCTGTCAAATTGACAAAATCTGTGGCGAAATTCCTGGATTGTCCATGGCTAAAATTCGTTACTTTCTTTCTATTACTTTCTTACATAAAGTTCGCAGATACACGTGCTTCTATGGAGTAATGGCAAGGAATAGAAAAAACTCCGTTATATTGAGGAACGAATATAGCTTGGAAGGTATTTAAAATAAATTTTGAAGTTTGCGTGAGCACTCGACTCCATCGTGTTATTGACACCCTCGAAGGGGTACCTTTGGGGACCTTCTACTTCCTTCCCGTCACCACGCTGCAGTCAATAAAACAAGTTATGATGTCCTAGCCGCATTTTTTTCTTTGGCATGTTTTTTCCCGCAGTCTATACTTGCTGTGGTGCACGATTTAAAAGCGTTGTGTTGGGCGACACTGCACTCCCATTTTCTATTCGAAAGTGATTCTTGATGCGGACCATGCAAAAGGGTATCACAGTTTTGTGCTGATGTGCTCAAGAGCTGCACACGCTAGGTGGCGATAGTTGTGCCTGGTTTTTGGAAGTCTCTCAAACCGAAACTTAAACTGGTCAATAATGAGAGAGGGGCCTGCAATTATTGTCATGACTAACAGGCCTGCAGCAACACATCGCAACAGAAAAACGTGAAGCCGAAGTTTTTGTGCCACTACCCCTTAAAAGAATAGAATAAATTTGCCGGAAATCAATTGAAGCATGCTCTTTGACAGCAAATTAGGCTTTCTTGTTAAGGGCCAGCCAATATTTTATGCTGCTCACACATCCCAGCCACACTGCTATTCGTTTTGTAATGTTGGTTGTAAAGCTAACTTACAAGACTTTTGTTGAGCCAGTGCTTAGCGGCAGCCAAAGTTTGCGATGTCGTAATGTGTTTTGCTCAATTGTTGAAACTAGGCATGCAGCATTGCAAAGCAGCTAATGCTGCCACTGTAAATGGAGGTGCTCTAGCTTGGGTTGCCTTGGAGAGCAAGGTGTTCGATTTGGTAAACATTGATTTGCTGATACGATTTGAAGTGGTTTGATTTGTGCCGACCCTGGCCCTTGTGTCGCGCAAATTCACTAATCAATGGTGAGTCATAATCTGGTGAACATATTGGATTTGCACCATTCTGTGGTGCACTGCGCAAGGTTTTAATGACAGGCTGTGAAACCAGAATAGGTGCAATAGCTTAACTTGTCCCATGTTACCACGGTGTGTCGTGCCTGCATTTGTTTCGGCATTACACATGGCCTACACCCACTGTAAAGGAGACTTGACCAGAGTGGCATCAGATGGGGGTCAGCAGATCCTTTTTTTTTTCTTTCGTAGTGCCATATTATTTAAACATTTTTCAATCCTCTCAGCATAAGAAAAAAAAATGGGCTGCTATACTTAGCATAAAAGGTCCAATTTTTGTGTAAGGAAGTTTCGACGTAACGAAGTAATTTGTGATTGTACCGACATTGTTGTATCGAAATTTGACTGTCTCGTGATTATTAGCAATAAGAAGAGTAGGCCACGCATGCAAAAATAACGTTTAGTTTGACATCTCGGCTGGGAAACTGCCATTGTTCTGTAAGAAAGCCAATGCATGGCCGATAATATTGAATCAGATGCATCTTTTTGGCTTCCTACATAAGCCTGCACTACTTATGCACAGTGAAACTTTGATTATGCGTTCCTCAGTCTTGCGACGACCCACATTTTAACGTGGGATGAGTAGTGAGACAGTATGTCTTTTTAGAATGGAAAATTTATGCACCTGGCATACCGTATCCATATCCAGGCTCATTACGTAGATTAGCTGTATGCACACTGAGCACCTTCAGCTGGTCGTAAAGCTCATTTTTGAGATCCCTGTATTTTCACGTTTTTGGTTCATGGAAATTTTCACTGGTCGACATTCAGCTGATCTCCTGCGTTTCCTTGCAGCAATCGCAGTCATAGGTCTGGAGCACGCAAAAATACCTAATGCAGCTGTTTTCACCATGCAAATACACTTTCGCTTGATGTGAATGCTCATAATAACAGCGAGGCCTGACTAGTTGCTCTTCCCAATGCAACAAATTGCCAATTCACACAACTCAGTCATGCATGAAGATATCATACGCAAACTTCTGCTCCACCATTAGGAGGTGGCAACTACACTGCGACTGACTTTTCTGACTGGAGGCTGTTGCCGACAGTGTTTCAATTTAATTTTCACACGCAGGCAGCTTTCTGACTATTGAGAAAAAGATGCATGGCAAATTTGAATTAAAGTAGAGGAAAAGAGTCTCTCCCAGCTCCTTCAACTAAGTAATGCCACCATTAGCTCCCATTTTCAGGCCATCTTTGAAGAAGCTCAGGGTAGTGCCATGGGTTTACTCAAGCGGCTTGTACTCCATTTATGGGGCAAGTAGATCGCTGGTAGTGCAAGAGTATGGGACTGTTGCACATCCATATTAAACTTCCGCGTAGCGTAGCATCTGGTATATCTAACACTGCACCGTGCCGAAGCCCAGAAAGTGCATTTATTGTGACAGAGATTGCTCATTTTGCGCCCGCGTATCAACAAGTTCATACCCCTTTTTGCGCGCAGGTGACGCATGTAGTGTAATTCGCTGGTTGTGCAGTGTTTGGGAGCGCATCGACACATGATGCACCATCTGTTGTACGTTGTAATGCGTGGACGCAGAGTTTTCAAAAGGGGCCATTTTGCGAAGGGCACCAAAATCACATGAATGCGAAGTGACTCGGCGGCCTCGTTGCAATGTGCACATTCCCTTGTTTGCTCACGTGTGATGGCATGCGGGCCCAAAAGGCATGGTCTTTGAGATTGGCAACCTAGTGATGTACTTTTGGCATTTTCGGTTATAAAATACACATCTTGGAGACTGCACTTTTTTTTTTGCTCTTCACTTGCTGCTACGAAGCCCCTAGTTTGATCTCCATCACCAATTGGTGGGTGGTGGTTTAGACGATCGTTTGTTGTTTGTGGACAGCGTAGTGGACAGCGCTGTCACTTTGGGCTTGCGCACTTCAGTAATTCTCTCTTCGTTGCAGCTGAATCTTCTATCCGAAGTCAAACTAAACATTGCACTACTTGTAGCGATAAAAATGATGACTGGTGTTCGAAACGACGTTAAGGAAGGCACTGTTGCGCACAGTTTCCTTGTGGGCTTTGGCTTTGGTGATAGGCAACTTGGTCTGCGTCATCCTAGCTAACAATAGCATATGGTGCCTCAGTGAACTTTGCTATGATTAGCATTCCCGGGCACCATCTTAGATGGGAGAAGAGAAAGTGACTTCACTTATTTTGACTGCATCGATGCTGATATCCTGGCTGATGATGCCAGTGCCATGAAACTGGACCTGTGTGGTTATGAAATTATTGCCGCCAAACATGTTATTGCGCTTCAGAGCTTGCACTGGCGCTCACCGTCGCTCACCGCTGTTGTGTCTGGAGGGGCGGAATTTGCTTATTTTGATAGCTTCAATGCTTTATGAACATGAGTCTGCAAGAGGCAAAACGAGTCAAAAGACTCTTTTCACACGAAATAATAAAGTGTGGTAACTTGTCACAGAAGTTGTCACTTTCTTTTTGAAGCATACTGTGAGCTAATGGTCATGTTCACACTCATTTCGATTTTTGAAAGCTGTTTTCAAAGTTGCAATGCACTAATATAGCCTTAAATACGCATTTTTTTATATATATCTAACTTATTTTCTCAATCCACTTTGAGTTCGATATATGCGGAATCGACTGTATGATACGTCTGGATTACAGTGAACTCGCATTAAACGGAACCTGAGGAGACCGGGAAAATGTGTTCCGTTTAACAGGAGTTCCATTTACCGAGAAGTGAACTGGGGTGCAGTGTGCAGGGATGAAACCAATCATATCAAAGGCAGTTGTTCTGTTTATGAGATTTCCGTATAAAAATAAATTGGAAAAAAATAACTCAGTGAAAGTAACGGTAAAAAAGTACGATCTTGACAATCGGCTTGTACACATTTGATAAGAAAAGAACATAAGAAAACGATAGTAAATAAATTCAAACTACAACAAAATTTGAAATTAGAAACTGAAGTAACTAGACACTAGTGGTGAACAGGTAATCGGGCTCTAGTGTATATGATTACTTCCGTCTGAGATGCATAATAGATCGGCTTTAGAGCTAAACTGCAATGTCTTAAGATTTTAGTTTTTGTGCTCCTGAACCCATAACCGTCCATTTTAGCCCAAACCACGACCGGTGCTCACGGCATTGCGGCCAAGCCAGTCGGCCGTGTTGCAGCCGCAACGGCCGCCCCCTGTGGCTCCGCCGCCGAAGACTTGGACCAGCCAGCACGAGGCGGGGCAGACATGGAGTGGACGCTCCACCCAGTGCAGCATTTGCCTGGAGGATCTGCACGCTGACAGACAGGAGATTCGCGCATTGTCATGCCGTCACTGCTTCCACGAACAAGTGCGTTTACGGGACTAGGTGTACATTTCGCTAAAGTGTTTGCTGACAGCAAGTCATCACGTTAAGATAAGCAAGATTGGTCTCTTTTTAATGCCCACTTCGGCAGTTTTTCAAAGTTTACGCTAAAAACTTCGATATAAGGAATTATCGGATGTAACCAAGTAAGTGGCCAATAGCTTTGCCATTGGAACAGTGCTACAAATAGTCATTTATAACAAAGTATTTTTGTGGCATATGTTGGTTTGTTATAACGGTATGCGAGTGTATGTTGGTTTGAATTGGCTGAGTATGTTCATTAGCACAATGCTGTGGTTTATACAAGATTTGATTCATTATTTTACTGATTAGCTCAAACACCCACTTGGCATCCTGTGATTACCGGACGCTCTGTGTGCGACATCGGCTATGGCACGGCGACAGAAGCGCCGGTGCATTCGTTTAAGCATGCAGCATTGAGAAGGCTACGACCATGTTTGTTTAGCTAATGCCTCGCTGGTGTCCAACTTGTTTTGCACCACAGCAAAAAAAATGTCAAGAGCAATGGGACAGTATTCGTTACATTATGTGCTCACCAGGTTAACCTCTCCACCCTCAGATGGCACCACCCGTCCATGCCACTCAAGTTTAGGGCTATGGTAATAGAGCGAAACGCTAACGCTGAAAAGTTTGAGGAAAAACTAAATCTCTTCTATGTTATGAAAAGAATGCATAAGTTTACGTTCAGCAGCATTTAAGAGGGGAGGGCAATCATCAGATACAAAGCTTTTTTTTTTTTCTTTATTGAGGTGACTCAATGAAATTTTAAGGATATACTTGGAGCAACAACATCAGAACTACTACAAAATTTCATGAAGTTATATTCACTGGTTCTCAAGTCGTGGCGGTATGTCAGAATAGTGCACATGGTTCTCTTATTCCAGGCCTGGAGAACTTTCAGAATATGCTGGAACGTGAAATTAACTATGATGATTCGCAGATTCGATACATTAGTGGGTGACAGAGCCTTTTTTTTTTTTATTTCCTTGCTGATATGTTTTAGTAAACGATGAAGTTTAGTGTTGGTGATTAGCCTATTATCAATCAAATTTTTATTAGGTATCATAAATAACAGACATGATATACAGTCAACTCTCGTTACTCGACGGGACCTCTGAATTTAGTTTGAATTATCAAGAAGTTTGAATTATCAGTAGTTCTCAGATAGATGACTCTGGGTACGATGACACCACACATTATGATTAGGCATTGATTTTGTCACATTTAAAATTTAAAGTGTTTTTAATCCCTAACTGCATGGAGTAAACAGAAAGCAGAGGTGTAAAGCCCACAAGTTTATTGTCCATTTACTGCTCCCTGCCTTTACCTCATTTTGTTCTCTCTCTCTCTCTCTGTACTTTTGATGAGACATATTGAAAAATCGTGAATTGCCAACTGCTTCATTGCTATGTGCCTTCGGCACAAACTCTATATACCAGTTGAGAAGCATCACGGTTTACCATGATGTTGGTAAACCGTGTTTGTTTCAAACATTTGTTTACTTGTAAAGCCGTTTTCCTTGAAGGCCTCAGGTGCCTCATTTTTAGACTTAGGATTATATAAGCGCACAAAATTTTAAATAGTAGTGGGAAAGCAGCAGATATTCTCTGGTGTTGACCTTCAAAAAGTATGAATAACCGAATAATGGAGTTTGAATTAAAAGGCTTTTAAATACTTTGAAAGAATAGAGGGCCAACCAAGAAATTGAATTTTATTTGAATTAACCAAAAGTACGAATTATCATAGTTTGAATTATCGAGAATCTAGTATATTGGAATAGGCTTTTCTACCTTTCAGAAATTCATTTACATACATAATTAAAAAATACCTATGGAAATACGATGAGTGGTTCCAGAGACATGGCTAAAACAAGCAGCCTCACTACCCAAAAAATTCATTTTAGGAAAAACGACATTTGAAGTTGTACCAACGATGTTCCATTATCAAAAACTACATTATCAAAAATTCACTGCCTTCAGTTTGAGGTGCCTTGCTTTTCTAAAACACGAAAAGAATATCAGCTTCAGTGTGTTTCATGATGTCAATCCTCTTGCACATCTGTTGTGCCTTTGTTCTCTTTCATTTTTCTTAATATCTTTTTCTCGCTGCAAAGAACATGTCGCATGGATTTTAATCAAAGCTTTTTGTACAAAGTGGTGTAACAGACATGACGTAAAGTAACATAATATAATCTGATTAGGCCATATACTGTTACAATTGGCTAGCTTAGTTCTTGTAGTGATGCTATCACTAACATAACAAGCACTCTTTATTACATTTGAAGCTTGAATCATGTTATTACATTACACAGCTTGCCGTTCACCGAGAGACATGGTGTTCATTGCAGAAAAGTCATGTACAGTAGGTTGTCACTGCTAAAAAACGTTTTTTCTACCAGAGACATGGCACAAACGGTATGGCAGGCTCGTGCCAAGCATCTTTTTCGTGGCTTTCGCCCCCCACTGGCCAAACCAGCGTGCGCCTTAATATGAGAACAGTACTGCGTGGTTGGACGTTTCTTTCAGCTTCGCACATTTTTTTTTGTTTAAAGTCAAGTTATTTTCGAATACGCTGTGCATTTCTAGTATGAAGAGCGCACCGCAGTAATGTCGAAGGATCCTATACTTTGCACTAGTTACACTGGGCCAAAAAAATATAATGATAATTTGAGCTTGCTTTTAAGCTAGAAAAGATGCAGACTAAAGTGCGCACGACAATAGCACTGTATTGTGTACACCGTATGCTTTGTACAGAAGCTCCACTATCCCCCCTCATTCGTACCTTTATGATGACTGCCCATGCTTGTAAGAATGGATTCAATTGACCGATTAGGGGGGAGGGGGGATGGCTTTCGGTTGTGAGTGCTTTAAGGGAAAACATAAGAAGTCAGGTGTCTTTTCAATTCCCTATTGCATAGCTGCCTTATTATTAAGGCTACACACTCCATTGTTCCGTGAAAGTTAATGCAAACCAATTTGAACAAACCGAGGTGGGCTTTTTTTGCCAGCCCCGATCATAACAGCTTTGTTTTCTACTAGACCGAATGTGTCTACTGCAAGTAACAGTGACTTGCATCTTGCATTGTTTTTGTTTGCAGTGTCTGAAAGAATGGTTCAAGACGGAGCGCACTTGTCCCAACTGCCGTTCTTATACTCTGACGGACGCGGAATTCCCAACTTTGGGATCATGACCATCTCAAATGGAGACTATTTTTTTACATAATTTGTCGCATATCAGTTGCGGTAAATATTACACTTGTGGCCTTTGCAAGTTGCAATAAATGGCTTTTTTTTATTACAAGCAGCTCTTTGTTTCACCATAAATGCCTGCACCCTGGCTTTTTTTATTTGTGGAACTGTGCGAATGGCAAAATTTTAGCTGCAAAGCAAATTTTTTGTATTAAAGTTTGAGTGCAAATTGAATCTAATATTTTTCTAATAGTAGTAGAATGTTCATATAAGATTTTTTTAATGCTTAAAAAAGGTGCGGGAAATACCTAAGCACATTCTTGTAGGTTAGTAACATGGAAGTTTTTCTTTGGGTTAGGTTGGTGAAGTGCTGTTGAGCTGGTGTTCTCTAGTTGCTTTATCAAAGATGAGGCAATGCAGAGACCAATTTGTATTTATTTACGCGACTTGGTGCAACCAATAAGGTGTCGACAGCACTTTACTCATGGAAGGAAAAGACTCGATCTTCTCTACCCATTTCCTCTTCAACTTCTGCGAAGGCCCTATTGATTTGGTGGAAAGGTGCGTAATGCCTTTGAATCCGAAGCTTTAATCTGCCCCTTAGATGCAAGCGTATGAAAACATCTGAAATATCGGATACTCCAATTTTTTATTGTGCTTTTTCGTCCTGAACACTGCCGCATAGGTTCGAACCAGCGCTTTTCTCGAGTCTGTTCGTTTACAGTCGTAGCGTAGCGCTGCAGACAGCTTTGCCGCAACATTATAGTGTGATGCAATAAACAATATTGAATATATGAAGGGGGCCACTGTTACAGTGCAGTGCATGTCCATGTTGGAACCAGCATTTTCTCCAGTCAATACATTTGATGCCGTAGCAGTGTTTGAAATGCAGCTTTGCCCAATGTGAGAGTGTGATGTGCTGAAGCAATTTATAAAACTTGAAGGGCCCTCAGCAACTAGATGTCTGGGAAGTTCGATTACATTGAATAGTTAAAATTCTAGCGGAGATCGAATCGAGTAGCAAACACTATAAAAAATATTCAAAAGTTTGAATATTCGCACAGTTATGGTTATTAGTGAGGTAATCTTTCCTGATACTAAAAATGCGCTTACTGCGTGAAGGCTCTTGTAAGCGAGAATGCAGTCCAAAAGAAATGCGGGTGCTGACATCACTTTGGGAAGTTCTCGCATCAGTTGCTGTGGTGTCACAGCCGTTGATGCAGATTGCTGGGTCGTACAAAGTGCCTAATCAACAAAACCAGAGACTTTATATGCCAAGTTTCATGAAGTCTTGTTTCTCTACTGCGGCCAAAATACAAAAAACACGCCCGAAAACCCCTAATGTCACTGAGATATGAAGAGATACTTGTGACATTGGCTCTTCTAATTTCTTAATTAACCTGTATGTAGTGGTGAAATCTGTGACACAATTTTTCATTCATCATAGCAGACTAATTTGTTGTTTCACTTGAGTGTCACTTTAATCTGTACATGTGTGAACAATGGAGAAAGCAGAATAGGGTGAGTATTTGCACCTGAACTGTTCACGCTCACATGATGCGGGTAGGAAACTTTGCAGGTGACGTTTGGTGGTGCTGGTAGTGAGAACCGCCAAGCGGCATAGGGAAGGTTACTGGCCAGCCAGTGATGCAGGCTGATTACAGACACTGCCAGAAAGACTTCTTTTAACCCTTGCCCTTCTTAAGGTTGCAGCTGGCGTGACATGACCTGGTAATGTTTGTTTGGGTCAATTCACTGCAAGTGTAAATAATCTCACAATACTGATGCAGGTTGGTTGTCAAACAACTTGTGGACTTAAGCTAGAAAGTTTGCGGGTTGAAATGTTTTCATATAAATGTTTGATTGTCAGGAGGTGCCATCACAGTCTCCTTGGCTGGTAGTATGCAACATATGTCCACATACTTTTCTTTAGATTAATTGCAATTTACCATACTAAAACACTGCACAAATGACGTGTGAATGGATGTGCAATTCCAACGTGAATGGGACAAACTCTACTTGCCATGCACGGCTGTCGCCATCTAGTTTAGAAAAATATCGTATTGCAAGAAAATGAAAGCACTAGTGCCATTTATGTAAAGCGGAAAAACATGATCTTAGCTTGTCAAAGTCATTTTAAAACTTTAACTACACATATAGCCTGTCGAAAGTCGGAAACGGTTGATAGCGTGGCGAGCTACTATAGACAATTCACAGACTATAGTGATATTGCCTAATGCGAATTTTGAGTACAGCTTCGTGTTGCCACTAATGTAATAATGCATTCACGAGTTACTTTATTACGCCGTTGCAATTTTCGTGAAGTAGGACAGCACCCGGTACGGCATTGTTTTTATGAGGGTGCCTGATGAGCATATGTAAGGTATTATGTGTACTTTGTTGAGGTTGCATATGGCTGATAATGAATTATGACTGAACACTTTACAGTGGGTGGGAGGCAATTAACCTCAAACTCGTTGCGCATTTAGCATCGTGTGATGACTGGTTGTTTATTTTGCCACGTGGTACTACGTAGGTTGACATGATACCTTGCTCAATACGATCCCTGTATAGGGTGTTCTTGCAAGTCAGATTGCAGACAAGATATATAGTAGTAGCCTCTTTTCAGCATTCATGCAAAGCAGCAGTTCATTTCCTAACCCCACGTTCTTGTCTCTCGAACAGCACTTGCTTAAATTGTATGGCACTACCTTCTTGGCTTCGGGTAACAAGTCGCTGGTAGTGGCTCAAGTTGCCCAGGGCATCGCTACAAGATTGAGTCTTGCTTCCACCCGTGTTTCCCTGAAATTCATAAATTAGTGCTTGTGTGAATTTTTTTTTGGCTGGCACCCAGCCAAGCAAAATACTGGGCTGGCACTCAGCGGGCCCGGGTTCGAGCTCTACTGTGTCATTGGTGCTAGGTTTTTTTTTTTTTTTCTAATTTTGTGCGATGTGCATATGGACACCGTCGGCGGCGGACAACTACGGCACCAGGCGTAGCCAGAGTTGTGATCTCATAACAGCTTTCACTGTAATATCCAACGTTCTGTCTACTGTGTCCTCCCTGAAGTTTGTGTGAATAGCACCAAGCTGTGGCAAGCAAAAAATCGCAGCATATTCACGGTGTGAATGATGATGTGTGGGCGAAGCGTATGTCAGTCAGTCTATCCGTTCGTCTGTGGGGTGAAGCGTCTGTTCGTCTGTCCATTTGACCATCTGGCCGGTTACGCCTGACGCAGGACAAAGTTAGACTAAGAGGAGCGTCACCCCTTCCTCAGTTTGTTGCTATGTCACAGAATACTCGGTGCAACATGAAAAATAATTATTGATCATTAGCATAAGTGTAAGCAATCACAATGGTGAAATGCCCTTGAAGAAATATTGATGCACATCTGCTGTCATGATGAAATAGTTTACAAACTTTGAAGTTGACATCTTGGCAGGCATGGTACGATACAGGAATCTAAAAAAAAATTAAAAAAAAAAAAACACAATGCTCTTTGAAAGGAGATTTGTTCACCATCGAGGTGATGTCACATACATGGTGCTTTTAATGTAGCGTGCTAATGGCACTGGTAGTGCACGGAATAATCCTCAAATTTCTATCGTGAAGTGTTTTGGCGCTATGTGACGGGCACCACTGGGTGTATTCACCACAACTTATCCGAAGCTCCCATCTTGCTCTTTCGAGACCCCCCTCACCTTGTCATCCGCAAGGGTTTGGCAACAGTAAGTGATATTCAGCGGGGTCGTATATTTCTTCTGATTCATCAAGCTTGGGGAAATACAACGACATGAAAGGAGCTGTTCGTATGGAGCAAGAAGTTGTATTTTCCTAAGAAATGGCTGCACACTGGAGGTTCAATTTTATCAAAATGAGCAGCAAACTTGAAAAAATTTGCAAATAAATACTGCTCAATGTGTGACAGTGGAGAAGCCAAGGAGATTGGTGTCGCTTTCTTGAATCAATGGCTAGCATAATTTGAAGCACCATGCTAAAACTGCACTACGAATGCAGCAGCTGTTTCAATGATACTCTGTGCGTATAAGGACACTTGTGTTCCAACAATGTAGGGACACCAGCGGTTCCCGATTCTAGTGCTTGAGGTTAGTCCAAATTGTACGAATTGATATCGTATGAATGAAAATGGCGTGTTTTGCTACATGTAGTAAGGCTATGACTTGGCATTCCATTGTGTCAAAAGGCAGCCATCATGAAAACAGCACAATCCATCATACAGTTGGTGTAACTGGCATAAGTGCCCTGGAATATTGCATAAAGATGGCGGTAAATAAATTGATAAATTGCCAGCTAATGCCCCTCCCATGTTATGGGAGCATGCATGTTCCTCGGAATGCACAATGACTTCACAGTGCTCGATGACAATATTTTATTTCGGTGGGTTTCCACATTCGCAATAGCGTATGGTAAAAACATGCAAGGTCTTATTCAATTCACCTGCAACACTTTACGGAAGGTGTTCAATTGACAATCGCAGCATGCCAGCATCCGTGCATCTCGTGTCAGGTCTGCATTTTCAGTGCAAGTTGAGTTAGCCTTTTTTTTTTATTTTACCAGAGCAGCTCTAGCTTGCATTTTTACAAAGTACAGCTGGTTGATTGCAAGGATGAAGTGCCAAAACACTTAATCTAGGATATTCCGAGCTCGTTGGCACATTCTGCACACACAAGGGAAACCTCAGGACTGGCTGAATTTGCAGAGTTTAGGTTTGCTCCGCACACGTACCTGGGCTGTTCCAACAGCAGTATCTTTATATCCATGCGCAATTTCTAAATTCTCGCAAGATAGGGTTGTCCTTAGGTGAGGATGGCAAATCTTTTTCCAAACATTAATGTTGCATAATGGCCAACCGCATGGCCAGGAGTGATCTTGAGCCTACTTCGCAGTTCAACACCCGGCGGAAGCACTAGTCGGGCTTCTGCAGCTGCTCTGGTCACACTTTAAGATGACACAGTTTGACAAGGGACATCCAGAGACTGCGCATAGAAAATAGCCCCCCATTTTATGATGAGAACAAGCAAACGAACATTCCTACCAACTGGAAAAACCACACAACGCAGAGCTCCTAGACTTCGTTAATCTACAAACTGGCTACCCTGTCTTTCCATTGTCTTTCACTCTCTCTGCATGAGGGAGACTGTGATAGGTATTTAGTACACTTCTGGCCAGCTGTAATCATTAAATGCTCGAAACTTTGTGCACAAACACTGTAATATTCTGCCTGCTTTGAAACGCACCTGCCACGATCATCTATCAAACCAATCATTTCCCACTTTGCCGCAGAATCCCACAGCTATCAAGTCAATGCAGCGGGTACTTGTGCTGAATCAAACAGACCTTAAGTTGGCATGCAAATATTAGATACGTGTATAAACATGCAAACCAGCTGCTTCAACGAAGAACGGCCCTAAGTACAGAGGCCATACATTACGAGGGGTGATGCACATCAGCAGACTTTTAACACACAAGTAAAACAGTGTTGGCTAATTCAACCAAACACCGCTGCATACATTTTGCAATTGGAGGAATGAAGCTTGTCGATGCCTAAAGATTGTTGACTCAATGAAAATCTTAGGTGGAACTATTACCATTTTGAAAAGTGTTCAACACATGACGACACGTTTCCGTACTGAGATGAGAATGAGGGTTCTCCATAAATTTTGTCAATTCATAGCTATTTGCACCGACACCTAAGTACAAGAGCAGTTCTTGCACTTTGCGTATCAAAAACCTGTCCACCACATCATGTATTGAATCTATAATGTCATGTTCAGCAGCGCAATTCTGTTGCTGCCTTAAATAACAGGTTTTAGGAAGTTGCACTTCCTCCAACCTGTCATGTCAGGTTTTAGGAACCTTTCACAGCATGTGGAGGAGCTAAAGTTATTCTCAGCAGATGTGAAAACAAGGTTGAAGTTTGGTTCAGAGCTGCAGCCTCACTTCGGTGAAAATTGCCTGTGTTCACCAGCCTGGGACACAGCATGACGGAGCAAGAAGCTGAAGCAAGTGCCTCGTCAGGAAATGGGGAGCTTCTTCTTCAGCTGCCAAAATGTTGGCATTGAAGAAGCATTTACATGAATATGACAACATTCGTATCAGTGGGTACTTCATATAGAAGTGATATCGTGAAGTCGCAGCACGAAACAGTGAAGCTCAGCAGCCATCAGTATTGCCAAAAAGAAGCAAACTTATCTGTGTGGCAAATCAAGTACTTTGAGACTGCACAGGGCTGTAGTTACCGTTTCGTTGTTCACTCAACTGATGTAAACATTTCAGTACTTGCATAAATCTTGCATAGATGTGCAACTACACAATGCAGCCCTTATTCAACTAATCTACGATTGAATATTAGGTAGGAGATTGTGGCTGTAACTACACAATGCAGCCATTACTCAACCAATCTACGATTGAATATTAGGTAGGAGATTGTGGCTGTAAGAGTAACTACAAAGCCATTGCTTGAGACATTGAGCCACTCAATCCTCTCCAGATATGCCTGTAGCTGTAAAAATTGCATCTTCATTCGCTGCTACCTTGCCTGAAGTTTCATGACCAGTCGATTCTACTATTGGACTCTGCTAGTATTCATGTGCACAGTGTTCATGTCAGCAGCAGAATGTCAACCTGGCTTGCTACACAGCCAGTGGAGCTAACCACTATGGCATCAGTCACCACTTTGCATCATCTTGTGTACACTGTGCATCTGTAGCATTTCTACAAGCCTAATGCAACAGGGTGGTTAGATAGACTACTTGGTAGGGAATTATTTTTTTTTTTTGCTAGAAAATTGCAGCACGAATGAAAAGAGACAGAATGCACTGGATGATAAAGGGAACACACTCCACACTTTTTTCATCGTAAGTTTTCAGAAATAATCTACAAACTTGCCACACACTTCATGTGCAGTTTGTGTGTCACAGCACAGAGGTGATGTTAACATGCCTAGTATTTCTGTATAAGTGCTATCACGATAAAGCAGGAAAAAAACAAAGCAAGCTTGTTTCAGCCACGCGTGAGCTGGCCTGACTTGTTCATCCTTCTTTCCTTGGCATCATCATCTAATGGCTTCATGAGGCTGAGTTTTAAAAAAACAGGCCTCAGTTTCTCTCTTTGTAGTTGTGATAAGCTTATCATGAAGAAATTGCTGTGACAGCTCAGATGCGAGAGTAAAGATCACCTACACAATTGTATCTTGCTGCTTCCTCTGTAAGCACACATGCTTTTTCCTCATTGAAATAAATAAATAGGTTTGTTCTAAGAAAATTCAGCATGTGCTTGTTTGTGAGAACTCTGAGCTTTTCCCTTTTTCCGAGTGCCCAAACGTTCACCAACTTTTGGGGTTTCGAACATAAGTTATCAGTGTCACCCGTATCATCATCACTGATTATATGTTGCCAAAGATGACTGCTCAATCTGCTACACTGCTGAGAAAACTGGTTCTTCGTTGAAGCAGATGACACGATATGAAAGCACATGAATTGGCCAAACCTAGAATTGTTCGTACTTTTTAAAAAAGGCCATGCATAAGACAAGCTACAGATGACTACATGCAAGAGACTGCTCTATTAACATGACCCATCGCCACTGCAGACCATGGGTAGATCGCATAATTCACCCGTTATGACGACAACCTGACAGCCCTGCAAGAGTGCCGAATTGTCAACCTGGGGGGTCTCCTGCTTGTTACAAGTGTCTAAAGCATGCTTAGTTGAAGTTCTATTGTTTGGCCTACGCAGACTCGTTTTCAACCACAAGTCAACCACAGGCTCTGGATCCCACTGTTCAAGTGGTGCCCCATTTACATTGATGACCATTGTCTGCCACAGCGTGTCATCGGTGAGAACATTCTTCCGAGATTCCTTGATGACGCAGAGTTCTTCGAAGCCCTTGCACGTCACCTTGCACGACGGTGAGAGCAGAGCGGCCGCAGTGAGGAATGTGCAGATAGTGGGATAGACCACACTGAACCTGGAAACCACGGTGGCGGCCAGATTGATGAAATCTTTCCGCAGACACCCCGCTAGACTCCTAGGTCACAAAAAACTTGTAGGAACACCACTCCAGTATGATATCCGATATGGGTTTCTCGGGCAGCAACGAATGCATCTCGTTGCTCAGCTCCCTGATAGTTTCAATTCCGTACGCACCAAAATGCTTGTCAGAATCTTCTGGCCAGTTTTTTGGATCCAGCACCGAAAACTTGAGCAGGGATTCTGAGCACTGACTAGCCACCTGGAGCACCTGCTGCGACACGCACCGGCACACATCCTCAGCTATGATGTGAAATGTCTCGATGTCAAAATCTTGCGTGACAGCCATGCCTTGGAAAAATCCGGTTCTTTCTTGTAGCTCATGCAGGACTGGCACCAGAGATGGGCCCAACGAGATCTGATTGGTGATGAGCGTCGCAGTAGCCTTCAGCTCATCGATCACTGTGTAACAGGCAGGAGACAACGAGCCAGTCGTCTTTTCTAGGAAAGCATTCAATGTCTTGAAGATCTCTCGTAGCAGGTGGACGTGGGCGATGAACACAGAGCTCTTGAGGCAGGTGAGGATTTCAGATGCATCGGGCCGAAGCTTACGGTCAAAGTTGTGGTAATTATCCTTCAGGAACGACGTGACACTGCTCCATTTTTCAATGATGGCAGTTAGGAACTTGAGGTTGAGGACTAGCAGCTGTGGGTTGGGGGAACGAGCGTGTTGATCGGCGGGGCTGGACGGTGTCCATATGTCCACCGTACTGCCCGTCTTCTTCTGCAGGTCTCTGAAAAAGCAGAACAACTTGTACAACTTGTCAGTGCAGCCTCTGACTTGCAAATGCCTGAAGAGGACCGGCTTGACCACACTCTCGAGCTTGTGCACCAGACAGTCCATGGTGTAGAGAACGGGCGCTTCTTTTGCCAACGCCATTTGCAGGCCGCCGTCCGCTTGGTGGACGGTTTGGCCGTCCGTTGTTAGGCACAAGAGCTTCTCGAAAGGCGAGGGCAATCCAAATTTCGCGAGCATCTGCACCATCGCGAGTGCGATGCCCACTCCGTTGTCGCTATCGACGAGCCCCAAGAACTTTGTGCGTTTGGCACAGTCCTTGAGGTAAGTGATGTAGACAGCGTCCTTGCGCGATCCTACAACGTCCGAAACGTCGTCAAGCACGATGCCGAAGTGTTTCGCTTGGTAAATGTCGGCCACCGTGTCGTTAATCATCGACATGGCGATGTACTTGGAGAAGTCCGGCACGACGTGGTGGTGGTTCGTGTACCGACCTTCGAGCGGCACCCCGTTCTGGATCTGACGGCTCACGAGAACGGGGAACTGCGAGAACGAGAGCTTGCTCTTCTGTATCTCGTACACGGTCTTGAACAGAAGCTCGAACCGGGATCGAGAATCTTCGGGCGGCTTCTTTTTTGTTCGGAACGAGTGGGCCAATTTTTTCCTCTCGGCTTCGCTTTTGTTCAGCAGGTTTCTGTGGGCCGTCGTCTTTTCGTGCTTCTGGATGACCGAAACCTTGAAGTTGTTTGTGCCTTCCACGAACGGCACGCACTTTTCCTGACCGAAGTAAGCTTCCCTGCACAGCACGCAATGCATGGTGTTCTTGATTTCCTCGTACTGCAACCACGCGTACGTCTCCTTCCAGACGTTTCTAAACTTCCTTTTGCTATCCTTCGAGTTCCCATCTTTTTTCGAACGGCCCGCTGTCTTTGGCGCTTCTCTTCTCGCAACTTTCTTGTCTTGCCTCCTCTCCCTGCAAAATGAGAAAGAAATAAATAGCGCGGACGTGAGATAAGCGCCTCCCTTCTTCAATGGAGCGCTCACTACGTACAAAGGTGATCAACGTTTTATTTCGCGCCCGCGTTTTCTCCGTTCATAGCGAGGCGCTAGCTTGGGCCGCGATCTGGAGATGCGTGAGCGCCCACGCTTTCGATCTTAACGACGCTTCAAAATGCACGCGTCGCGCCGAGCCTCATCAAACAACACGTGCAAAAGAATAGAGACTTCTACTCGCCTACAAATGCTGCTCATTCTGAAAGGGTCACCACTTATCCATTATTTCCAGAGCGATAACAATGCGCGTGTGATTGCATTCCGAAACCGTTCCACTGTTTGTCGAAGCTACAATCCGATAAACATCGAGTGTGCGAACTCGGCGAGTGTAGTTACTTCAAAGATCTAACTATTAAAGTCCACAAACACACAAAGGCTTGACGCCCGAGCTTTGCCCTTGCGATGTTTTCTTTAGACGGCTTGGGCGGCTACCGCGTTGGTAGCCTAGGGGCCGTTACGCAAAACAAAAAGAAGCGTGTTTGCTGTTTGTGTGAATACAAGCGCTGCACACGCATTTTCAGGTGAACTTTTGACGCTAAAAAATAACGCTGCATCCGCGGAACAAATCACAGCAAGAAGTGCTAAAATAAAACGCAACAATTTGTAATGCTCTAAAGCTCAGCAGAAGCTGCACTGACATCGTAAACCGTTGTTATGGCAACTGTGTTGACGCCTTGCGAGTAGGAAAATTGCCTTGCGCATAACGCGGCTGATTCTTGCATTGCAAAGTACCGGCGCGGTATGGCAAGAAACCTGCGCGTTATGCGCTTAGAGAGAGCGTGATTAACATCTTTTAAGGTCTGCCAACTTTATTTTGAGTTTGTCTCGCTGATCTTTTTGTGGCATCCGCCTATCGTAACTAGCGTATCAACGCTGATATGGCTGACACTGTCGCTATTTGGGAAGTTCCGTTCAGTGACAAGATACACAAGATCGAATTCGAACACGGAACGACCACCGGAAAAAGAGTGATCAGAGTTGACGGAAAGGTACGTCATTTTACAACTAACTCTGCTCGTACGCTCTTGAGTCAGAAGTCACTGCGCGCTTAGCCGCAGTTGTGTGGAGACTGCTAAGCTCTGAAGAGCGGGACACTCGTGCTTGTAAAGCTAATTTATCCAGGCGACTGCGGCAATCGTGTCTTTCCGAAACAAGCAGTGCGCCGCACAACCACAACGGCACAAAGAGCGACTTCGAACGATGGAGCACTACCACGCACCGCACTTTGTCACTTACCGCTTATCGCCAAACCTTTACTGGCGTCGAATTCTCCTCGCTGCCCGCAGGAGGTGGTGCGACGAGACTGGATGTTCAAGCTTGTCGGCTCGGAGCTCTTTGAGGTGGGCAGGGCGAAGTGCATGGTCGTGATCAAAGCGTTGAGCGGCTTCACGTACCAGTATTCGCTCATCGTGGACGGCAAGCAACTCGACAAATTTAGAGAGAGGCAGTCGAAAATACTCAACACGTGGATTGTGAACCTACTCGAACAACCAACAAGGGTAGTACTAGGTGAGCACTCTTGCTTCTTCATCTGTCCTAGCGCTGTGCTCAAAAATGAGCACTCTTATATTACCTTTCACTCTCAGATGTTCTCCAATAGTACTGCTTGCCAAATACACCGGGTTATCACATTCTGGAGATTTGTCCAGCCGGGTTAGTGGCGAAAGGTTTCAATAGGAGGGAACATAGAGCTATCATTATTTGCATTCTTGACAAGTCACGCCATTGTGGTTTCTTGACGATGTCATGAATAATCTACTTTACTCTGCTGGCCTGATTGTTAAAAGTATGAGCAGCTACTAGTATTTAACATGCAGTTTTTGAAAGAAAATTCGCGAGAGAATGCAGTAGCTCAAGAACATTTATAACACATCGCTGTTGAACAGTATTACCTAGATGTCATTACAGACATTATTACTGGCATCCATGTCTGCAGTAATATGGTACTCTAGTAAATGTAACACCTGTAGGGACATGTGGAAACTGTACAAACAAATGCAACCTGCAACTTCTTGCAAAGCTCCTTCCGTTTGCAGAGAAGGACACTCTGGACGTATACGTAAATGGAGAAAAAGTCGATGTTGTGGTAAGTGCAGCAACACTGCCTCCTCACACTCAGCAGCTCGTGCTTGACGCACATGAGAGGAACTGCTTTCCATTTCAGCCAGAATTTGTAGACGGAGGAACCGAGACCCATTTCCAAGTGGGGCCCTACCAGGCTTACATCACTGCGGCGAGCAGCGGAAGCAAAAAAGAAGGGATTCGGCACACGCTGATTGTGGAAGGACACGAGATACCGAGCTGTACCGAGTGAGCCGCACCTGGCATTTTGGCAAAGCACAGGTCAAGTGAGACCAACCGCGTGGGTCCTGTGACTGCCCCTCATTCGTTATTGTTGGCTAGCACTGTTTAACTGCCAATACAACAGGCAAATGCATGGGCACACGGTGCAATTTTGTTACTGTTCAGAAGAGCAGGCATTGTGCCTCACCTGTGCCATCAAAGTAGGAATTCAACTGTGATGAGTACAAGGCACATTTAGGAAGCTGGTAATGTTACAAGTAGTGTTATTGCTTTATTGTGACAAAACTGGCAACGAGAGCTTTGAATAACGAAAGGTTTCCTGTAAGAACTGCAGAACAAAGACGTAAGTAGCACTAAACCAGAAAACTGAACTGAATGAACACATAGCATGAGTGCTATATGCATGTATAGTGCAATATACATGGCATTTGAGGATAATACACTGTAGACTCAAACTGTTGCACTTTCATTTAATTGCAATAGATAATTAAGTATTATTAGCTTCACTTTTTTGATGGCTTACAGTTCAATTATTTACCAGACAAGTGTCGCTGCAAAACTCCTCTTTAATTGTTAATTCAATTGAAAAATGATAGCACACATGTTAATCAAGCCGTTAAATGAGTAAATAGAAATAGCTGTATAAAAAATTGCTGCATTGGCTATGAACCGGAAAAATGGCACATTTTAAAAAAAAACTGCCAGGCCTACGCTTTGGGTAACTATTACAAGCACACTTGCTGGGTACCCACTATGCCATCAATAGTCATAATTTTTGTGTAGTAGGCTGGCATTTACCATGCTATCCTTTGTCAATCTTTGAAGAAGCGTGGTATTCCCTACACACGTGCAAGGACTTTCGTGGGAATTTTTCATGCAGTGGCTGACGACGAATTAATCCTGAAGTGGGTATGCACCACCAGCAATAGGTGATCATAAACAAGCTTTTTGTAAATGGCCTGGAGCATCAGACGACCCACTCGTTATGCAATTTTATTGTGTGACACCTGGTTGTTCCTTCAGTTTTTGCTTCATTACTTGTATTAGTACTATTCCTTTGCCAACATCAAGCCTGCCCAAGGCCAGTTAAGAAACGAGTTACAAGCACTGGCGTGGCTCAGTGGTAGAATACTGGGCCTGCACGCAGCGGACCCGGGTTCCGAATCCCATTGTGTACTTTGTGTTTTTTATTTACAGAGTTTGTTTTTTTCTTTCTTATTTTTGCGAATTTGGTTACGGACACCAGCGGATAGCTATAGCGCCGCACGTGACCCGCGTTATGATCTCGTACAGCTTTCGCAGCAAAAAAAGGATGCATATAGGGTCTCTGCGTTTTACAACAATAATTGTCATCTTGCTCGGCTGCACTTCCTCTATTGAAAACTGTGTGCCTGCTACTTTCCTGTTGAGAACGCCATGTCATGTTCCTAGAGCGCACTTCGCAACTCCAGCGACTAGTTGACAGCTGCTCAAGTCAGCATGGCTTCACAAAGAGCAGTAAGAAAAATAACAAAAGGCTTTCTTGTGTGTGTCCTGGTCTGTTTTTTTTTTTTTGCCCTCGTCATGTCTTGTCAGTTAATCAATTTGCACCAATAGTGTAAATTTAGCAAAGTAAAGATGAATAACACATATCTAACACACCGTGAGCATCAATATTATGTGAAGCATTTTGCTGGGATCTACATGTCTGTAAATGTTTGGTGCTTCAATATCTTTTAAAAGATAGACTGACGTGTTTAAGATGGGCATGTTGTGCGTGAAAATGCCGTCAAGATGGAAGTTACGACGAATTTATAATTCAAAGTGAGCATGGCGATATTTATTTTTCATGCCATTCAACACACAAGGAAACATGCACCATCCGTTTGCCGAGTTAACATAGGTACTGGGCAGTGGTACATTGGAAAAATTAGGATTGTGATGTAATCCTCAAAATGCTTGTCGTACTTCAATCATATGTACACCCGTTGGTGCTTATATGCCTACAAAATCTGGCGAAAGAAAAAAAGGAAACATTGAAACACCTTCAGAGTTGGTCAATCATGAATGCTGTACAAGTTGCACAGGTTTTTTGCAGCATTCACTGCTTTAAGGCTGCATAATTATTGACCAATCGTGAAAGCAGTGTAGCTGGACGTGGCTTCTCAAAGAAACTATCTTCTTCTGTGTCCAATTTTCTTTGCATTACATTTTGATACCGACCTATACCAGCTCGCCCAGTAGATCACATCACTTCAGTCAGTCACAAAGTGACAGCTGTCACAAGAGAAGAATGCAAGAAGTGTGCACATGATTCTTGTCTTGCCAGCTCAAGAACAAAAGATGAATGCGTGCAACCAAGGCCTAATGATTAAAGTATTGGGCTGCAGTGATGAGAGAAGTTTGATCGAACCTTTCATTCTTATTTAACAAACCAAATTTAGGCAAGACAGGACAATACTCAACAATTTACTAAAATGGTGGAATGAGACAAAAAATGTGTTGCGATGAAAAAGGCAAATGAGCACTTTTTTGTCCTACTGTTATAATTTTGTTCGTGTTCCATCTGTCGTACATCTTGTAGAAATAAACCAATACTTGACCACGGACCTCATTCGAAAAGTGTCATATTTTAACATGAAAGAAACTACTGTAACATTTATTCTAAGCATATATTTATTATGCATTGTTACCAGCAATGAAAATTTTGCATTTGTTTTTCATGTTCACAAAATCTACGTTGTTACATTTACTAGTGGGTAGACTATTTGCGAAGAAATGAAACAAAGAGAGCACCAAAATAAACCTAAATAATTTATTCTATCTGTACAGGAGTGAACGCAGTGCATGACTTTAACTTATGTGACGGTCAAGATGGGGCTAAGATTTTTGCACTTAGGTAGTTCAACCTTTCCTTAGATGCCGGTCTAGTCTTCAGGACATCTTCGTACTTTAGCTCAACGACGATGTAGCCCAGCGCTCGGAGAAGCCGCATTCGGGTCGCATGGTGTCCCATCGCATGCAGGCTGTCCATGCTGTAGTGCTCTGGGAGGGAGATGATCACAGCTAACCTGGTCAGCAGAAAGCACACATTCACCGTTAACACGATACCCGCACCATAATGAGTAAGCATCCCAGATATTGAACAGTAGCTTAAATGTAAGTAGAGCTAAAGGAAGTCAAGGAGGACCAAATATACCCATCATTTCAAACTCTTATCACTCGGTTTTAACAGCAACAGCTCTTTCGATCTCCGTTGTGTAGGCAGAGAGACTAGAAATGCTACGACTGTTCCACATATATATTGCGCTTCATTCTGTGACAGTCACAGACAGTTACTAAGTAAATCAGCAAATCACGATACTTTAAATGAGAACTGTATGCAGACTGTTGTATATGCATATCTTAAAGTCAATAGTGCAGTCTTTATTATTCTGGTATGTACTAAGGCACAATTCTTTTTTTTTTTCACGTTAAAGCACAGAACACGAACATTCTACTAAGTCACTTGAACTAAAACCCAGATTAGTTGGTCAACATTAAGAATGTACCGTCCTTTAATTAACTGCAGCACTGGCTAACCACTGGTGGTAGTTACAGAGCGAAAGAGAAAAATAAATGGAAGAAGGATGAAGAGATCAGCATGAGCTAGATGCATCATGAATTAATATGCTCAGCACAGTGCTAATAAATAGCGCACTACGGCCATGGGTCAGCAAATAAATGTAGAGTTCACTCATACTCACAAAATACATTTTGAACTAAGGCTCAGACTCACCCACATTTACCTCAACCAGACTCGCAAAAACTTTCCACATCTGGACTCACTCGAACTCCCAGCCCAATCTGTGTCTGAGTGAATCATCTCTTGAGTGGGTTTGCCAACCTATGGCTATGGCTGCCCAGTGCAGCCAACAAAATCTTTTTGCTGTCATGACTTGAAAGCTCCATTATAATGAAGGCCTAATTCAAAGAAGAACAAGACTAGCAAGCTGTTATCGTAAGTACCGTAAACATGAGCTGCATCCCAAACCAGTACATGTTTGCCGTTGCCAATCAATTTTTCCAGCTTGCCACGTAGGGCAGGTCTCGTACACAGCAAAAAAAAAAAAAAAAAAAAAGATTGATTTACAGGTTAGAATTGAAGTACAGAGAGCGTTAACGATGCAGTAATACATTTAATAGCGAAAACAAAACCACAGAGAAGCAAGGCAGGTCTGCTCCTTACTCCAACCAAATCTCGAGAAGAAACAGCGGCTTCAGCTCGAACCCTCCAGAATAGCTACCCACACAACAAATGCAAACTATGCAAAACGGAAAGGGTGTCCTATAAACATATACTGTAGGAATGTCCCAACCTATCACCAACGCTTTGTCCCGTCTTCTTGCTTGTGGCATCACTTTCGTGCTAAAAAGTGCTGTGCCAGTAGGCCGAAACAAAGGCTATCCAGCAGGCCGGGAAGGCCATTCGTAGACAAGGTCTCCTAGCCTCTACTAAACTTACAAACATGCCTAATCTTGTAATAAAGTGTAGTCACTTCAATTATTGTTACCATTCATGTCAGTACACGCGTTCCTGACGGGGCAGGTATGAAAAATGTGAGCTGCCTTGCTTTCTGTATTTTCTACAAAAAGCAAGTAATTAGAAGAAATTGTTATTGATTATCATCAGTATAATCACTCCTCGGAAATGCAGTTTCACTGTCGGCATTTAAGCAAGTACCACGCCTCTGAAAAACAAAACAGGTGTACAACTGAAAATTCTGCAAATGATTGCTGAAGACCGTTGAAATAATGAAGCTCCTGCTTACCGTTTATCTACCCCACTGACAGCATCTACGGGAATTGGCTTTCCTTGCTTGTTCAGTTGCACAACATAATCTGGCAGAAAATAAGTTCACGTTCATTAATCGCTCTAAATGCCATGCTAAAAGACTAGACACAGCAAAGAGACAAAGGTGAGCTTTAACAAAAACCTGTTAACAAAAGAATGTCAATTTGTTGGCGTTACTAGCACATGAAGTTACAATACATAGAACACGTTTGATTGTAAGACGTTACTGCAAAACATCAAGGCACAAGATTGCAAGCCTGCACGACACATAAAGAGATTACATCGCTCACTGAGCGTGTGTGTGTGTGTGTGTGTGTGTGTGTGTAAGTGAAAATATGGGAAAACACAGACGTCTACAAAAACAAGCAAGATTTTCTTGCAAAATGAGGACCCTTCTAAAAAGAGATTGAGCGACAACTTTATAGCAGCCAATGCGCGAGAATGCAAGAGCACTTAGTTTATAGTTGTGAACGGGTGCACACTCCACATTTTTAACCAACAAAAACAATGTATGCCCACATCTTTGTGAATCATCCGGCAACTGCTTACCGATTATGTACATGTCGGAGAGAGGCAGCCTTGGCTGCACCACTGAGAAGCTGAAGTTTCCTTCACCTCCCAGAATCACTTCCATGTCGTCTTGCATCGAGCACATCAGGCGCAGTAGCCTTCCGTCTGAAAGCGGTTACGCATACCGGGATTCACACCATGTGCAACCCCTTGCATTAATCTGCGCTCGTACATACCTTCGTAAGATAGATCAAGCATTGTCATATGTATACATACAACAGCTCGGAGTGTGGCCAGCATAATTCTTTCTGTTCCGCTCTATTCCAATCTCACTGGCTTTTCTCCACTGAAGCCAATGACAAAAGGCAAAATGATAGTTTCAGAAAACTCGCAGGAACAGAATTGCTGGGATACGAGCATATATGCTTGCAGTTTGTTCCCCGACTTTCCACAGTGAGTCGGAGAAGTCATGTCATGCTGTTGCTTGTCATGAGATCATTGGTTTGATTCTCGATTGACACAATCCCATTTCCACGAATGAAAGAATATGACAAAGCTTAAGCACTACACATATTAGAAATGGGATAAATTTCATTCAGAAGGAGTTGCCGAATTGTGGCGAGCAGCTTACCGCAGCCCTTGGAAAGGAGAGTTCGTAATCATCGCATACCGGCATTTCTAATGTATCGGACAAAGATAGAAGTTAACACATATTTTTGAAAAGTTAGGGACTCCACAGCAAGCGACAGAATGGAAAACATCAGGTATATAATCAGG